GCAGCATCCCCTCTGCTTCCTCCCGCACCCGCCTGTTAGAGAACCAGCCTCCCTGACCCTCCCTTCAGTCTGCAACCCAACCCCTGGGCACCAGGCTGCCCCCCACCCCAGATTCTGTCTGCCAATCTCACCGTTTTCAATTGTTCGCCCCCATCCAGTCACCCAGCACTGTGTCCCAGGTAGTACTTCAAAATCCTTTTCTGGGAGGCACACTGGCTGGATGGATGAGGAATAACTCACAGAGGAGTTCAACTTAATAACGGCAATATCGTGAATGTAAGCAGTCCGATTATACCCACTATGGCGATAGATGTCTTTGGCTGTAACGACCACTGCATCTGGGGAATCTGCATGTAACCACGTACTTCCCAGCTTCACTTCGTATATCTCATAGCTGTGGGAAGAGGACAAGCCCCTCACAGAGATGCTGGAGAATCTGCACTCCCCTCCACCCCTTCCATGTTCCTCCCAGCGTCATCCCATCTCCTACACCAGTCATAGGCCATTTTCTCACTCTAAATCACATCCCATCGATAAACCCCTAACCCCTCAAGGCAGTGATTCTCCACTGATATCCCAGAACCACCACAGCAGCACCTGGGATCTTGGAAGAAACACAAAATTCATCTTTTACTTCTACTGAATACAAGCTAGGGGCTGTGATCTGATTTTAAATGAGGAAGAGAAAGCTCAGGTAAGGGTTAGGACTGGCTCCATGTCGTGCAGCCCAACCAGTAGCCCAACCTACATCCCCAAACACTTACCTATTTACCCAAACACTCACCTATTTACACAGTGACCTGCAGTCAGCACCCACCGTGGGGCAAAGAGGGAACCTCCGCATCTGTGAATTCCTCCCGTCTGCAGGCTCACCTGCCAGGGCCACCTTCTTTTCGGGGCTGGCATTCCATCAATTATCCTCATATCTCGATGGATACATCTTCCTTGGCTCAGTAAGAAGAGGGACAGGAGGTGACACCGCTGTCTCCCTCCTACCAATTCCTCAACCTCCAACTCCACCTCCACCTCCTCCAACATCACCACCTCCACCACTTCTACCTCCACCCTGAGGATAGAGCCAGGTTTCCTCTCAAACCCTTCAGAATCTTTTGACCTTTCAAACCCACAGCCAGGCAGTGACCCCTACTGGCTTCCTAGGCAGGCCTTACAGTCCTGTGTAGAAGCAGTACCTTTAAGAGACAACCCTTCAAATACGGAAGTCTGGCTGGATTCGAAAGCCGCCCCCACTGTGGCTGCAGCTGGCCTTGGAGCTACAGTGGGCACTGGAAACTTCCGGGATTTCAGGTGTCCTGGAGCTGAGGGGGCCGCTGGGATTGCCAGACTCATTGCAGAATCCTCCTTGGGGCTGTCACCCTCACCTGGGGAAGATGAGACACCAGTGAGAATGGAGCTGGCCTGAGCCTGCCCCTTCGTCGTGGCCTCTTCCCATCTCACCCTCCCCACCCCCACCCCCACCCAAACTCCACCTCCCAACCCCCGCCCCCGAAATTCCACCTCCCCTCCCCAAGCCCAGCGCCCAAGTGAACAGCCAGGCCCAGTCCTGTCCAATCACGGTCTGCCCAGGTCTCACTGAGCTCAGTATGAAGGACCAGGAGCCAAAGGACCAGCATCCAGACCAGTACGTGCATGGAGCCTCCACCCCTGCAGGGCACGCTTGGGGACGCCATGGGCACCTCTCGCAGCACCGCGCTCTCCGCGCCCCCTCGCGGCGGCTCCGCGCCTGCCTTCCTGTTGGCGGAAACAGGGCCTCGGCAGCATCGGAAAGATCTTCACCTCAAGTTTATCCAACCAATCTGAATTGTGCTCTTAAGGACCTTGAACATGAAATTAATTTCTCAACCCTAAAGTAGAGACCTTCTGAATTATATATTCCTCACCAGCATCTAATAACTGGAGTCATAAAAAAAAATAGAAAATCCAATCTGCCAGGATAAAAGGAAAACGAAAGTATGGTAAATACAGACTACTGAACAAAATGGCAGTTTTGAGCCCGGATATATATCGCATCTGTGATAAGCGTGAGTGGGTTGATCATACTAAACAATATATGACTTTCCAATTGGTGGAAAACATAAGGTCTAGAAATAGACTTTCTAGGAGACAAATTTACCACAAAGAGATGCACATACCTGGGAAATAAAGGCACAGGGAGCGACATGCCAGGTCATACTGGTGTAACAGAAAGATGGGATAGCAATTTGGTTATTAGATCACAGCTTTTAAGGCAAAGATTGTATCAAGGACAGAGGGAGTAACATATATTAAGGAAAAGACACCAATGAGAAGATGCAATGACAAGCCTTTAAGGTGGAACAAAGATGACCAATTTATGGGAAACTGATGCTATGATACATCTTCTTCAAAGCTAATAACTTACATATGCAAAATTAAGCAAAGGTGTAGAATGTTTGACTCTCAGAACACATTATCTAGACCTAATAGCAAGATGCTGCATTTACAACTGTGAACAGAGAACACTCATTCTGAATAAACACATAGGGAATATTCAGAATCAAGGCCACAACGGAAGACCAGTTATCTCAAGGAATCCATGCAATACACATTCTCCTCATGAGCCACACATCAATGATATTAAAATCAACTTTTTAAAAATCCCGTATTTCTGAAATAAAGTCAAAACCCTAGCCAGTGGTCCTCTGATATAAAGGGAAATCAGGAGGGAGATATGACTTTAGAGATCATTGCCAATGAAAGTACTACGCAGGGAGAGGGTATAGCTAGGTGGTAGAGTGCATGCCCAGCATGCATGAGGTCCTGGGTTCAATCCCCGGTACCTCCATATTAAATAAATAAATAAACAAACCTAATTACCACCCCCTCCAAAAAAATGAAGTTTCTAAAAGTAATTAAATAAAGTGAATTAAAAAAAAAAAAAGGAAGCACTACCCACGAAAACCAATGTGATATAGCCATTGCATTCTTGGAAAGTAACTGGTAGCTCCCACTATATCAGAAAATAAAGAAAACTGATAACAAATTAGCTGAAAATTCAACTCAAAATGAGGGAAAGATCAAAGCTGTAATCTTAAAGAAAGGCTTTGAGAGAAGAGAGGAAATAATGGGAAACATGAGCAGGAATCAACAAAACAGAGAAAAATTACTGAGAGGATTGACACAACCTGAATTTTGTTCTTTGAAAAGCTTAGTAAGAGACAACATTCTGGTAAGACTGAATGAAATACAAGACAAAGGGATATTACAGGGTGAAAAGGGAGAGGAAACAAAGATATGATAAACTTTTTTTAATTATTAGAGACTCTTATTAAATGCGTATGTTGACTTCTCCTACGGCCAAGATAGACTAACAGGCATTGTCCTTCCCTGTGTCACCTGAAACAACCAAAAATGACAAAAATATGAAACAGTTTTCAAGACACTGGACACCAGGCCACAAGGAACAAGACTGCTGTTGGATGGGGTGAGCCTTACTATTGCCTCTGCTTACTGCCTGCAGAGAGGTTCCAGGCCACAGTGCTGACAGAGAGGGAGCCTGGGCCGAACCCAGCAGGCTCCCAAGGGGAGCAGGTGAAGCTGAGGGGCGGGACACGCCAAGGTATCTCTGCAGACAGAACACAGGACAGAGGGAGTTACGCACAGAGACAGCTCTGGGGATCAGCGGAGGCACCCCCTTCAGTGATGACCTGAGCACTGGTCAGTGCATGAATGTGAAGAAGCTCCCTGAAGCCAGAAAAATAACCTCCTCAAAGGATTCGAGTAACAATGCCTGGTGCTCACCCGCGACCAGGAACAGTGCCTGTTCCCGTCAGCCAGACTGGAAACCTCCAGATGCCCAGAATACTCTGTAGCCTGTACAGGAAGGTCTTGCCTTAGCAACAGCGAGTAATCATCCCTAGGCTGAGTCTCAATCCAGCCCTTCCAAAAAATATAAAACAAGATCAGAATATATCAGTTTCCTAGTAATTTAACTGCATCCCAAAATAAAGCCCAAGACTATTTCTAGGAAAATATCAAGCACCAGGTAAAGGTCACAATGCCTGGTACCTAATCAAACAATACCCACCGTTCAAGGAGCATGACAATGCAACCCAAGATTACTAAAACAGCTATTAGAACTGTAGTCATACACACACCCACAAACGTTAGGTAGAGATGCTGAAGACGTGAAAGGACCCAAGTCAAACGTGTAGATATAAAAACAACCCTTTGTGAGATGAGAAAACACACGGATCATGGGATTGACTTTACATAAAACATTGCAGTACAAGAGATTAGTGAGCTCAAAGGCATGACAACTTTTTTAAAACTCTAAAATCAAACAAAGAGAGAAAAGACAATAACAAATAGAGCATGTGACCTGTGGCCTAATATATGTGTCCCTAGAGTTCACAAAAGCAAGTTGCAAGGCCGGGGTCGGGGGTGGGAGATATTTAAAGAAATAAAGGCCAAATATTTTGCAAATTTGATTTAAAAAACTATAACCCCAGACATCCAATAAACTCAACGATCAACAAACAAAGAAACATGAAGAAATCTAGACCAAAGTACAACCTAATCAAGTAGGTCACAACCCACAATAAAGTAAGAGGAAAAAGATAAAAATGACACTACGTTTCTCAGCAGAAACAATGCAAGCGATGTTCTCAGCTGAGGTCAGAGATGAGTCTCCTCGTTTCAGCTCTCATGGTGTAATCAGATGCCCTGTTCCCAGTCCACAAAAGTAATGCCATGTTTGTGCATTTTTCTGCTTTTTGTTGGTGATTTCACTGTTTAGCATGGCCCCCTGCAAATTGCTGAAGTGCTGTCTGGTGCTCAAGGACTCCAGCCTGTGATGCGCATTGCAGAGAACACAGATGGGTCAGGTCAGGTCAGCTTCCTACAGGCATGAATCGTACCGCTGTTGGCCATGAGTTCAATGATACTGAATCAACAGAGTGTATGAAATTAGGTGTTTTTATCCAGAAACAAACATAAAATAAGGATCCACGTTGATCATAGATCCTGGGAAATACATGTGACTTTTCTGCAACAGGGATTTAGCGGGAATGCCACCCATCACAGCAGGTACCTGAGCCAACCTGCTCCTGAGTCCCTATGACATGATCCTAGTCATCTGGATACCTCCGTTACCATCTGACAGGACATTTCAGGCTGACTTTATACATTTCCTGCCCAACACCTGGACATTTTTCAAGCCATTGCTACAAGGAGCCCTGGTTTCCTTGTGTGTGAAATCACATTTCAAGACCACAATCTGGGTAATAGGAGTGTTCACTACTATACATCACTTCTCCTAATGATGTGAATCCATCAGCATTTTTGTTGGTTTTGTTTCCTTTTCCTTTGCAGTCCAATATTTTAGGTGGAACTCAATGCCCGCTTCTCAACCTCCTCTTCTCTCTGTGCTATCTGTCTCTTTCAGAGGGTGGTTTGCCCAGCCACCAGCCCCCTGACCTAAAGGTTATCCTAAGGACCACTTCTTCCCTCCCACCTGAGAGCCACACCTCATTGTGGCCACAGCCCAGTGCCTGATTCACAAAAGAAACTCCACAAATAGTTGGAAGGAGTGAAAATGGCTATCATTTACTTGGAGGTTAGTGTTCTGCTTTCTGGGAGACCCTGCCTGACTTTTCTGGTAGCCAGAGGCTGACCCTCAGTTACTAAGCTGCTTAAACTGAATTCCTCTCCCCCACCACAAGAAAAGGACATTCTAGTATCAGCATAACAAAGGGCACCCCCAGTGGGACCATAAACTTCCCAGAGCTTTGGACTTTTCCTGTAACTCTTGCTTCCAAGTTGAGGTTTCCCCTCTTTGCCAAGTCATCCTGGAAAGAAAAAAGGGGACAGAGCAATGAGCTGAGAGAGCACTGACAGAAAGCAGTGAGGTGACAGAGAAGGTGTGAGTAGTCATTTTTCCAGCCTTTCACACATTTGACAAATATTTCCTGAAGTCTTGCTCTGTTCCAAGCCTGGAGCTGGAGGGAAAAAATAAAAGGATGATACAGATTTCAACCTTGAGCAGAAAAGTCACCCAGTGGAAACAAGATAGAAGAAAGGGCTCAGGACCACGAGAGTCAGGGGAGCCCAGAATAAAGCACATTACACAGCCCAGGGTAGTCCACAGGAGATGCCCTGGGGAGGACTGACTGCTTCTGTTGGGTCTTAGCCAATGAAGAGGAAGAGAGAAGGAAATGAGAAGCCATACTGACATTCCCAGCAAGAGAACATCACAGGAAAGAACAAGGTGGCTTGTACTGAAAGAAAGCTGCACCTGAGAGTGCAATGTAGCTAGACACAGGCCTCCAAGTCTGCCCAACTGAGCATTTCTGTAAAACCACAGTAGTGTTTACTAGGATTAACGATAACCTACTGGCATTTGAAAAGCACAGTGTCCTGCCCCAGCCTCCCTCAGGCAGGGTGATCCCAGACAGTCTGCTGAGGTCCACTGGTATCTGGCAGCTTGAACACTGGCCAAGGAAGGAGGGGTGAGCAGGGGACAGAGGCTGGGAGACCAGCAGCCAGTCCAGGTGACTATGGAACATTAGGTCTGCTGATTAGGAAAAAGAAGCTGTACGTACGTACACACACACACACACACACACACAGAGCCAGGCCCTCCCTACACCCTCCCCTTGTGGAAACTCAGCTCTTTGGGCTCAAGGGGTCTTGACAACAGGCCCACAGGGTCTCCACCAGGCATGCCTGTCACAGGGCAGCACAGAGAGGTACAGGGATGGTGAGGGGGCCACGTCCCAGGCTCTGCCCTCTTGCTCCCGGGCTCCTGATTACAAAGGCTGCCAAACTCAACTCCATCAGCCCCGCTACAGAGATGCTGATGCCTAAACAGAGAACAGGCCGCAGGACCCACCCCCTAACACACACATCAGACTTCCGTCCTGGGACACAGACTCCCCATCTCTGAACTTCCAGAGCTTCATGGACGCCAGGAAAGCTCCCTCAGCTAAAGGAGAAACTAGTTTTCTACAGTATGTTATATGCAACCCCACAAACTTCAGGAGACCTGAGCTTCAGAACACACGAGAAACTCCAAGCATTTATTCAGTTGACATCTGACATCTCCACACTCCTTAATGCCTCAACACAACCAGCCTGGGTGTGGCCACTGGAGCCCTGGGGTTGGAGGGGGGTGGTTCCAAGACTGAGTTGCCCCTGGAAGGCTTGTGTGGCAGAAACTGGCCACTCACAGATGGATCCACGCTGGGGAACACAGGACCTTCTTTCACTTCCAGAGAACTGAGTCAGATGTGGACGTGGTGATGCCTCCTCAGTCCGATCAAAAAATCACCGAGATGACTGGTTTGAGAAAGTATCAGGTCTAACACTCTTTCACCGTTGATGCTGTCTCTTCTTTGCTAGATGTTCCCCTAGATGTTGAGGAGCCATCATGCTCCACCTGGCAGGTCACCTGGCCATCTAATTGGGATGGTGTCACTGCCTCCTTCCTGGCAGGCAGAGCACAGCCAAGCTGCAGGCGTGGACGAGGCAGGTCTGGGAGCTCCAGACCGGGACAATGTCGGGGCTCCAGACTTGCTGCCAGTCTCTGTCGTGTGTATCTCCACAGGGTCAGTGGATCCCAAACAGAATCAAGGAAGGGCATTGAGTAGTGTGGAGGTCAGAGGCAGGGCTAGTGTGAGACTCAGAACTAGGAGGGCCCTGGGCCAGGGTGATCATGGGGTCACCAGGATGCCCAGGGGCAGCACCAGACACAGAGGTGGGATAAAGACACCTGCTGAGTCCAGACGAGAAGCCTGACTCACTCTAGCAACGACCCAATCCTTGTAGAAACTCACTTCTGTATAAACTCCTGGATACCCTCTGCGACCACAGCCAATGCCCCAGCTTACAATCCCCACCTGGATCCATGCGTCATCAATTTCACAGACCAGGGGACCCCCAGAATCTCCCTAGAGATAGAAAAAGAAACAAACACAGTGATGGAAGAGGATCAACATCAGAATAGGCTTATGCACTGCAAGCCCTGGGGAGATGGTCATTCATGGGCTCCCCCAGGTACCACAAGACTCCACCAGTCCTAGGTTCCCGTAAATATGAGATTTGAGCGCTGAAAAAATTTAACCAACAAAATTTGTGTACATCATCAAAAAACTGCGTACAAAAAACTGAACATTCTTAAAGAAAAGGTGCATACTCTGAGGTACTAATAATGAATAAAGTCCTTACTTGTGTATATTGCTTGTCACTTAGAAGAGGTTATAACGTGTGACTTGTATTATTGGTATTTCATGCCTGAATCTCCCCTCCTCCCCTGTCTCCCCCTCAGGCAGCCTCAGGTCCTCTCCACTGAGGGATCAGGTCAGGCCAGCCGGGCAGAGCCTTGGCAGCTCGTCCCCTTGAATCCCCTCTACTTAAAGACAGGGTGACTGGAGGCACTGCTAGATAACACAGGCCCCTCTGCCTGTGAGCGAGCAACATCTGGAAGGACAACCAAAATCAGGATCAGCAAAGGGCCCATGAACTGACCTGGCAGGAATCCTTTCCTTTGGAGCTGGAACCACAGATGGTCCCCTTCTTGACCATGTCCCTGTAACTTCCCAACTTTTCTTTGAGCATTTTGTTGCATTTCTCATAGCGAACAATGGTTTGCTCAGCCTCCTGGAGCGGGGGTGTCGGTGAATTTGGGTCTTCTGTAGAGATAATTTAGGAGTAAATTAGGTGGATCTGCTTAGTGGGACAGGACACCAGCCCCGGCACCTATTCTGCATCTCAGTACAGGGTGTTCACATACAGACACCCTCTTAGGGCAGTTGATATTGTCCCCACTAGGCACTAGAGGAAAGGAGGCTCAGAGGTGACATGGTAAGAGGAGGTGGTAAGAATCAAAACCAAGTGTCTGTCACTCTGAGTATCATAAATAATAGTGACAAGTGCCCTGTACATCAGTGAAGTGCCTTTAGTTTAGAGAAGGATCAGATTCTCAGGCAAGTAGTGCCCCGAAGGTACCAATCCAGCCTCTCCCCAGGGATAGGAGGCCCTATATTTCACCAAGAGGAGTTCTCTGGCCTCTTCTCAATCACAGGAAGCTCCTTATCCACCAAGGCAGGTACTTTAGTTTGCAACAGCTCAGATTAGCAGACGGATTAACACCCTAAATTAAAATCCACTCCCGACTTTGCTTGTCACCCAAGCCCCCAGGTCCTGACATACTAATAGAAATTTGTAACACCATCCAATCACTCCCTCTCAGCATCTCTCCACCCTCCTCCCTTACCCACTTGCTAGAAAATTTCCTCCCTGTCTCTCCCTTTAGCTTGTAGGCCAACACCAGGGCTCCAGGCACCCTCTTCCCTGGCCTGAGTTTGCTGCAGTCTTGCTTCACAGTCTCACCTCTTTCATCCAGTTTTCCCCATCCAGTTACCCAGCACTCTGTACCATCTTGGACCATGAAAGCCTTTTCAGGGAGGCACACAGGCTGGATGTTCGAGGAATAATTCACAGGGAAGGCAAGCAGAGCAAGGGCAATGTCATGTTCAGTTATTCCAACAGGATTATAATTTTTGTGGATAACGATGTCTTGGACTGGGACCTCGATTGCCTTTCTGGTGTGCATCAAACGTATGTCTCCCATCTTCACTGTGTATTCCACATGGCTGTAGAGAGATCCCGGAGGTTCTACACTCCCCTTCCACATCTTCTGGTTCTTCCCAGCCTAGTCCTATCTCCAGCACCACTCACCAGACACCTCCCCTCACTCCAAACCACATACGTTCCCATACCCCAGGCTGCCCTATCCAGTGGTTCTCAAAGTTTGGACCCCAGATAAGCAGGATCAGCATCACCTGGGAACTTGTTAGAAATGCAGATTCTCAGGTCCCACTCCTGATCTGCTGAATCAGAAACTCTGGGGGTTGGGGACAGGCAATTCTTGTTTTAACAAGCTCTGAAGGTGTTCCCATGCTCATTAAAGTTTGAGACCACTGAGCTAGCCAGACTGGTCAACTACAGTCCATTCTCCTTAACTATTTCTCCTTGCAAGTCTTTGTCCACAGTCTCCCAACTAGCATCTCTCCCCTCTTCTTGCCACTTGGCTTGAAGGCTAATCAGCCCAAGCTTAAAAGAAGTAGCTTTGAACCCAATTTTAGGTCTTGACTTTCCAGGCTACCAAGGGCTCTAACATCACCTACCTCTGACGGCAACTTGAAGAACAGGGACTGTGACCTCCTTTCCAGATGAGGAAGAGGAAGCTCAGGAAGGGGTCGGGACTGGCTCCAGGGCACACAGCCTGACCAGGAGCCCAAGCCAGGAGCCTGGAACACTCACCCGTATATGCAGTGGGCCGCAGTCAGCACCCACCGACTGGCAATGAGGGAGCCTCCACATATGTGTTGATTATTGACCTGCAGGCTCACCTGCCAAGGCCACTTCTTCTCTCGGGCTGGCATTCCACCAACTATCCTGGCCATCCGACGGCCGCATACTAGAGCAAGTCAATGAAGGGAGGGGACTGAAAGTAAAGCCGCTGACACTGCCACCACCAGGGCCAGATAATCCTCAGAAGTCTCAGAACCCTCAGACCAACAGCATGTCCGCTGTGGCACCCAAGGCAGATCTGTACCCCTTAAGACTCCTCAGAGAATGACCACAGCCTCTCAGATCTCAAGGGCAGGGCTGGGTCCACCCAGAACTCCCCAGGGAAAACCACGTCCCCCTGAGAGCCTCCTCCCCCAGGGCAGGGGCCCCTGCCCCTCAGACCAGGCCAGTTCCCTGAGGCCGGGCCTGGCCCAGAAACATCACCTGAAGGAAAGAGCTGTTTCTCTTTGCTGTCTTCTGGTGCTGGTGTATTTGGAGGGATCAGAGCCTTGTAGGAATCAGAGTCACCCAGCGTAAGCCCCACTAAATCGGGGACTACCGCAGCAATACGGGATTCCAGGGCCCCCGACGGTCCCAGAACCCCTCGAGGTGGCAGCTTCC